CTTTCAGAATAAGGTATGACCTTTATGAATTTTTAGTCATGCATTTTGGATTAACCAATGCACCGGCTGCATTTATGGATTTGATGAATTGAATCTTTAAGCCTTTTCTGGACAGGTTTATTGTGGTATTCATAGATGATAATCTAATTTATTCCAAGGATCGGGTGGAACATGAACAACATGTAAGATTGATGTTGCAAATACTTAGAACAAAGAAGTTGTATGCCAAACTAAGTAAACGTGAATTTTGGTTGGAACAAGTGAAATTTTTAGGATATGTGATATCAAAGGAAGGGTTATCAGTTGATCCTTCAAAGGTTGAAACTGTGGTTAATTGGAAACAACTAAGTAATATGACTGAAGTTCGAAGCTTTTTGGGATTGGCAGGATATTACAGAAGATTTGTAGAAGGATTCTCTCGAATTGCAACCTCATTAACTCGATTGATATAAAAAAAAAGTTAATTTTGAATGGACAAAGGAATGTGAAGAGAGTTTTCAAGAACTAAACGCTCGATTGACTTCAGCACCTATTTTAACTATTCCTGAGGCGAATGGGGGATTTGTGACTTATAGTAATGCTTCACATAAAGGCTTGGACTGTGTATTAATGCAATATGGGAAGGTAGTGGCATATACATCCAGACAGTTAAAAGAGTATGAGAAGAAATATCCAATTCATGACTTGGAGCTGGCTGCAATCGTATTTGCTTTGAAAATTTGGAGGCATTATCTATATAGTGAGCAATTCGAAATATACACAGATCATAAGAGCCTGAAATATCTTTTCTCCCAAAAAGATTTAAATACGCGGCAGATAAGATAGATGGATTTCTTAAAAGATTATGATTATACAATACATTATCATTCAGGAAAGGCTAACGTTGTGGCCGACGCTCTAAGTAGAAATCTACAAGAGTCTTAGCTCATCTAATGATCCAAGAAATGAAATTGTTAGAAGAAATAGTAGATTGGCATCCGGTTCCGTTCTTTAATGGTGTCGTAAGTATGATTGCCAACATTAAGACATAACCTTAATTAATTCAACAGATTCGGTCGGCACAAAAGGAGGACCCTCATTTTATAAAAATTATAGAAGAGGGGATGTTGGGAAAAAATGACGAATTCTCTATAAGCAGTGATGATTTGTTGAGATTCAGAGGTCGGATTTGTGTTCCGAATGATGAGAGTGTGAAAAGGGTTATCTTAGAAGAAACATATCACTCCCGCTATACTATACATCTCGAAAGTATTAAAATGTAACAGGACCTGAATAAACCTTCTGGTGGAATGATATGAAAAAGAGGTAGCACTATTTGTGTCTAAGTGTCTAACATAGCGGCAAGTAAAAGCTAAGCATCAAAGGCCCACTGGGTTGTTGCAGCCTTTACCCGTGCCAGAGTGGAAGTGGGAGCACATCTCTATGGATTTTGTCTTTGGCTTGCCTAGAACAAATTCAGGGTATGACAGCATTTAGGTCATTGTGGACCGGCTGACTAAAGCTGCCCACTTTCTACTGATCCGCACAACTTACACTTTGGATCGACTAGCTCAGTTGTACATTAAGGAAATAGAACGGTTACATGGAGTTCCGATCAGTATTGTATCGGACAGGGATACTCGATTTACTTCTAAATTTTAAGCTAGGCGACAGTCAGTCATGGGGATAAGACTCACCTTTAGCACTGCCTTTCACCCTCAAACTGATGGACAATCGGAGAGGACCATCCAGACCTTAGAAGATATGCTAAGGGCCTGTGTCATTGACTTTGCAGGAAGTTGAGATGACCATTTACCCCTGATTGAATTCGCTTATAATAATAGCTTTCAAGCCAGTATTTAGATGGCACCATATGAAGCCCTGTATGGAAGGAAATGCAGGTCACCCATCTGTTGGGACGAAGTTGGTGAAAGAAAGCTTTTGGGGAAAAAAATTCGTCCAGGTTACCACGGATAAGATAACATTAATTCAAGAAAGGCTCAGGATAGCTCAGAGTCGGTAAAAGAGTTATGCCGATAACCGACTGAGAGATCTTGAATTTGAGGAAGGTGATCGAGTTTTCCTAAAGATCTCACCAATAAAAGGCATCATGAGATTCGACATGAAAGGAAACCTGAGCCCCCGACCCTTTGAAATTCTGGAGAGAGTCGGAGGTGTCACTTATAGACTTGCCTTACCACCCGAATTGGTAAATGTCCATAATGTCTTCCATGTATCCTCATTACGAAAATATCAGCCCGACCCATCCCATGTCTTTAAATATGAACCTTTACCGATCAGGAAGGACCTATCCTTCATTGAGCAGCCAATTTCCATACTAGATAGGAGGGTACAAGTGTTGCGCAATAAGGAGATTCCTTTGGTCCGTATATTATGGTAGTACCCTTCAAGAGAAGAGTCGACTTGGGAACGAGAAGACGAAATTAGAGAAACTAAACATTACACATTTAATGATAGTACTACACCTCATGTATGAGGTGGAGTTTAATAAAGTAATATAATAATAAGTTTTAAGGAGTTAAATAGAAAGAGGGTCAGGACTCTCGCCCTACAAAACTTCCTTTCTTGCTCTCCCTCTTACAAACGCAGTGAACTCCTTTCTCTAGCTGAATTTTATCGAAAGTTCCCTCTCAAATATTATAGGTAAGTGACTTCATTGTCTTGAAGAATAGTCCGTTTTTTTTTATAAAGTGAAATAATTATTCTGTCTATTATCATGAATTTTAGACACGGTAAATTTTATGCGTAAGGGACTTCATTTTCTTGAAAAATAATCTTTTTAGTAAAATTATGATATTTTATCTATTATTAGGAATTTTAAATGTTATAATTTCTTAGAAATAAATTTATTTTTCTGGTCTATTGTTCAGAAGTTTTTATACTATAAATTAGTAGAAATAAATGTGATATTTCGTTTTTAGTAAAATTGTGAGTTTTCCTCCTACTGTTTTGAATATTTAGACATTATAAAATTCATATGCAAATGACAGCCGCATTATTTGAAAAACTGATATTTCTGCACTTGATTGTAGTATTGCCTATGAAATGATTCTTTATGAATTGGCAACTCCATAGATTGTGATAATTCGGTATTTAATTTTGGATTCTCATAAAAGTTCGTCTATTAATGCTAGACGGTTATCATGTTAGATTTCAAGAATATCCTTCAGAACTGTTACCTTTCAGAAATTATTGCACAAAATGTTTAAATGGCTACTTAGAGATATTTCAATGGAAGTGATTGTTATTAAATTGCTTCAAGTGAATTCATGATAACGTTTTCAATGATACTTTGCATATATGTTATTGTTGCTTTATGATGTTTAAAGAGTTTAAGAGATAATTTGAGTATAAGTGGACCTGCAGGGATCGTTAGGACCTATTCGATTATGCCGGTAGGGACTATTTGGACTCATTCGGGATGCCAGTGAGGTATTATCAGACCTGCAAGGATTGTTAGGACCTATTCGGTTACGCCGGTAGAGACTATTTGGACTCATCCTGGACGTCGACGAGGTATGTTTGAACCTGCAGGGATTGTTTAGACCTATCTGGTAGGGGCTATTTAGACTCATCCGGTACGCCGGTGAGGTACGTTTGGACCTGCAGGGGTTGTTAGACCCATCAGGACGCTAATGGGGTATATAGGTGATCTACTTAGGACGCTAGTAGAGTATTTTGTGAAATCCTTTGAATTATGCATCTCTGTTAAAATGTTTATGTGTATTTTCTTCATTTGGATTATGTTTAACTGTGGATTTGTGAAAAGTGAAATTGTTATTCCTAAATGTTTTTGTTCGCAATGCTCCTCCTCATGTTGTTTTGTTTTAATCTACATTCTTTAGAAAATGTTTATATCTTCCAACCATGATTATTTTTAGGACCATGATGATCACTTATTGAGTAACCAAACTCACCAAACTATGGTAAATAATTTTCAGAATAATTGTAGTCTCATAGTTAAATGCACATCAGAACCAGCTTGTGAAGAAGATGCAGTCATGTCATAACTAAATTCTCCATTGTAACTTTTGTTTAACTTCACCACTGTAAGTTTTCGTTTTATCAACAGATGTATACTTAGACTTCATGTGAATACCAGTTGTGAGCAAACTTGTACAAATTTTAATTAATATAAAAATTTGTTTTGTTACAATATATATTAATAGGAATTTGAATTTTTTTTTTAGTATAAGAATAGTCTATCGCAGCTCAAGAATGTTTAAAATCTTAGGGTGTGACAGTCAATGATGAACCTTCAGGAATTTGCCTTTTCTCAAAAAAAGTCTTTTAGAAGATCATATTTGATGATGTCTCAACTAAATTTGAAAAAACCAGCACCAAAACCATCTAGACCTGAAGCACTATCCGATTTCATGTCCCACGCGCACTCTCTTATTTCCTACATAAAAATTCTTTTGTAAGCTCAATGCATTGTTGAACCGTGACACACCTACATGGAGGAAGTCATAAGTAGAATAATTTATAACAAAATTATTATGGTCATCATTTGTTAGAAGGTTCTTGAAATAAGCAATCGTATGGGGTTCAATATCCTTGTGATATGAGATTAAATTGTAGAAAACCCTAAAAGCAATCTACAAAAATAAAAAATAAAAAATAAAAAATAAACACAAAAGAAAGAAATAACGCAAGATATACGTGGTTCGGCAACGTGCCTACGTCCACGGGAGATGAGAGCTTCTTTACTGACAATGGAGAATAGGGTTGCAATAGCTCTCTTCTCACACCTCTATGTTTTCTTTGATTACAAAGAGAACTACGTTTTTCCCTTAACCTTAAAAAAACCCCCGTCGTTACATTCTATTGAGTCTCATATAGATGGTACAAATTACTGAAATACCCCATGTATGGATAAAAAAATCTCCCTCGGAGGTTGCCGCCCCCAAACCTCCTTTGGGGCCAAGTCCACTGAGTCTACTTGACAGGACGACTCCTCCGGCCCTCAAGCCCTTCGGGCTTTTAACATCCCTCCGGAGTCATCTCTTTGACTCCACCTTTGGCAGATATTTTTCCTTAAAATACAAGACATGAATCCTCAACAATATCCACCTTGACTTGAATTTTGTAGAGCCACCCTGAAGATAACCTGAAGATGTCTTCATCCTCATATCCTCCATAAAAGTACGCGACTGCACCCCATCTTCCAGGGGGTGCGTCCCACACTCACAACAATGAGTAACATTAAGCAAGTCCAAGCAAAGCTTGAACTTCTTCGTAGTGACCGGCTTTTTAAGTATATATGTAGGGTTGTCATTCGTATGAAATTTTTTCAAGTGAATGATTCCTTCTGATACAAGCTCTATGATATTGTGATATCTCATATCAATGTGTTTTGTCCTTGTATGAAACACTTGATTCTTTGCAAGATTTATGACACTTTGACTATCACAATGCTGCACAGTACCTTCTTGCTCAACTCCCAACTCATGAGCCAAACCAATCGGCCAGATCGCCTCCTTTGCAGCCTCTATTGCTGCCATGTACTCTCCCTCTGTCGTAGACAATGCAATTGTGGGTTGAAACAATGCCTTCCATAAAATAAGTCCACCTGCTAGTGTGAAAACATACCATGTAGTAGACTTTTACTTGTCTAAATCACTAGCATAGTCGTAATCGACATATCTCACCAGTTATGTAGACCTTCTCTTCCTGTTGAATATAATTTCGAGATCTGACGTCCCGCTCAGATATCTGAAAATCCACTTAAATAGTATTCCAATACTCCCTACCAGGATTACTCATGTATCGACTAACAAAACTGACAACATGAGATAAATCCAGTCTGCTATAAACCATAGTATACATGAGGCTTCCGACTGCGCTAGCATAGGGCACCAGAGACATCTGCTCTATCTCCTCATCTGTAGTGGGATACTACTGTTCAAATAACTTGAAATGACTCGCCAATGGAGTTCTAAATGACTTGGCATTTTTCATGTTGAAACGCTCGAGCACCTTTTCAACATACCCTTTTCTGAGTTACCCAGAGTTTACTTGCACTTCTATCTCTATGAATCTCCGTATTAAAGATCCTATTAGCAGCCCTTAGATCCTTCATATCAAACTCATAACTGAACATAAACTTGAGAGATGTTATGTCATATGCATTCTTGGTATTGATGAGCATGTCATCAACATAAAGCATCAAGAAAATAAGAGAATTATCATCAAGAACTTCAAAATAAACATAATAATCATACTCACTTCTTGAATAGCCAATCCATACCATCAAATAGTCGAAGCGCTTGTACCATTGGCTGAGAGATTGCTTAATACCATAAAGTGATCATCCTTTTCATGTACCCTGAAGCCTTCAGATTTCTCCATAAAGATTTGTTCCTCTAGATCACCATGAAGAAACGTTGTCTTCATATCAAGTTGTTCTAGCTCCAAATCAAACATGGCTGCTAAAGCAGTAATAGCCTTATTGAAGTGTGCTTGACAACCGTAGAGAATATTTCATTGTAGTCCACTCCCTCCTTTTGAGCGTAGCCCTTTGCTACGAGCCTAGCCTTGAATATCTCACATTTCTTTTTTGTTGCTACTTCTGTCTTCGGAAAGATCTACTTGCACCCAATCACTTTCCTTCCCTTGGGCCTCTTGACAAACTCTCAAGTCTTGTTTTTTTTTCAGAGACTCCATCTCCTCTATCATGACTGTCATCCATTTATCATTTTGTTTATCACTTAGGGCATCTTCGAAAGAGTCGATTTCTCTAGTACCAATTGTTAGAGCGAAAACTATCATGTCCTCAAAGCTGTATATCACAGCGGCTTTGTAAACATGTTTTTTCTGCCTTTTACCAAATTGTAGGGTTCACCATATGGTTGTTGTTGTTTTATTATGCTGCTAGATGATTCCTCCTTTTATGGTATTTCAGACTCTTCTAGCTCCACCTGGTATTTCAGACTCTTCGGCCCTTCGAGCTTGTAATGGCCCTCCAGACTCGTCTCTTTAACTTTACCTTTAGCAGATATTTTTCTTCAGAATACAAGACATCAATCCTCAACATAAATTGCCACCAGTGTTTCTTAAATAAATAACTCTGTAATTTCTCCTTCTAACAACAATAGATATATAAAAGAATCTGGTGTTAGAGTCCCCATCTTTTAACCATACCTCTCAGGACTTCTGCCTCCACATACTTTCTTCCCGAGCCAAAAGGATCGAAAGTTGGGATGTGAGTTGAGCTTCCTCCAAAGCAGTAGTCGGGTCTCCTGGACTAATATCAATAATTTCCTGCAACTCAATTAGTCTAACCCTTATATTCGTTATTTGAGGACCAATGTTTCCAAAAGAGGTTTTGCTCCACTCAGAGATATCCATTCGAAGCCTCTTTGGTTTAGCAACAAACTTGTACATATGAGTACCTCCAACCCTTTCTTGCCATGAGTACTTAATGAGGTGCAGGAAATCAGGGGAGAAGGGATTTCCATGAATATAGCTCTAAAACTCATTATACAAAATCGTAATGGGAGTAGGGGTTGCAACGTGGCGCGTACGGGTCAGGTCTCGCTGGACCCGACCAGAATAGTATTTGGACCTAGACCTTGACCAAGATAGTATTTGGGTCTAGGTTTTGGACCCGGACCCGACCTTTCAGGTCAAAATTTTTGACTCATGCCCTGACCCATTGGGTTTCAAGTCTACCTGTCGAGGCCTGGGTCTGGTTCGGTCGCTTGCCACCCCATAACTATGAGCTTCTTTTTTTTTGTTGTCTTGTTTTGTACCATCATATACCCATATTATTGACAACATTTATAGTCATGCACAACTACAGTCCTACTGTTTTACGTAATACCTGGAAATTCCTAAGAAATAAACTTATTGGCAACATTTATGAATACATACATAACATATACCTATACTATTCGGGTGGGGTCCAACTGGACTCCAACCTAGGCCCGAATAGTATTTGGGTCCAGGTTTTGGACCCAGACCTAACCTTTCGGGTTCAAAATTTGGACCCATACCCGAACCTGAGGTCGGGTTTACCCGTCAAGTCCGGGGTTTGATTGGATCCAATACCACCCATAAAGGGGAGGCATTTTTTTTTTTATTTTTTCTTTTTCTTTTGAACATTGTAGGCAGAGGCACTCATGAGTCCAAAATCATATGTTCTATAGTCAATTACTACGTCATAGTCAGAGCATATGTATGTGGACACGGTTTTTATGAGTCTTAAGACTCATATGTAGAAATGAATCCCCTCTTCATGTTCCATTTTTTAGATGGATTTTGGGCCTAAAGTTTTAGGCATATATCGTTCTTGACACGGAGAACATGAATATATATATATATATATATATAACTAATAAATTTTTAAAACTCAAAATGATGGTTTTTTTGGAAAAAAATCTAAATTATTGATTTTACTTTTCTTTTTTGTTTATGGTTTGGAAAGACCACAAATGTGGGATGCCTCAGGGGATGCGAATACAGTTATGCGTCGTACTAAAAGATCAATGATACTTTTGTTATCTTCACAACCTGTAAAATTGAAATTTTTATTAAAAGATATGGGTATTTTACAAATAAAGTTTCAGAATACAACCTTCTAAAATGTCACTGTACTTTTGTAAAAATTTTAAAGTTATTTTTATTTAATGATTAAGTTACCTATTTAAATAACTCTTAAAACAAAAATTAATGATTTTTTTTATAAGGGCAGGCTTTCTATGCTTCCCTTACTACATAAAACTCATATACTTACCCTATGAAATCGTCCATTCTGAATGGACGACGGCCGATATGGCCCCAATCACAATATCACATCTCTACACTATTTTATTTTTAAGTTTTTTTCTACAAAATATTTTGACAAAAAAAACTATATATAAAATACTGAGGCGCCGGATCTATAGATGAAACGGTCAGTGTTTCACTTGATCTAAATTGGATGGCTCGATGGAGGAAAGTATATATCTTCTATGTTGTTGGGTTGAGAGTTTATGTTATCATTAAAATTTAATTTAATTTTTTTTTACAAATCAGATTTATTTGAAATTTTTATTGGGCTCACTTAAAATATTATAAAACAAATAGTCTACTTGAAAGCTGATTCTTTGAAATAGTTTTTCAAATCGAAGGCACCATTTGGGTGACCCGACAACTCCATTAGGGAAGTGACTGATTTGAAAATTTATGATTTCTATATAATTTTTACAAATCAAAGGCTCCATTTGGGTGACCCGATAACTCCATTAGGGAAGTGTTTGATTTGAAATTTTACAACTTTTTTATTTTTATAATTAAGTTATTATTTAATTATTATTATATTTTTTTTCCGTGGAAAGCTGAAAGCAATTTCATAGCCATATCATATCGTTATCTTGACAACATTTATGGCCATATCATACCGTTATCTTGACAACATTTGGATTTTTTATGTTGTTTTTTGTTTTGTTCCACTTTTATAATTTTTATTTTATTTTAAAACAAATTATCTCCATCATTTTTAATTTTAATGCCTTTTGGGCCTTAAATACAACTAGCTGAGACCACTAGGACTCTCCCAAGTCACTCGGCTTGAGCCAGGGCCAAGTTTGAGGCCTGAACTGAGTTTAAATACATTGCTCTCCTCCGTCCAATGTGACGCTGAGCACTTTTTGCTTAACTTAATTTGAGATATTTTAGTAAAGGGAAAAGTTTATATAAGGTTGCAACCTTAAAATGTAGAATCACAGATGCACCATGAAAAATCTATCAAAAATGTTATTTTAATGTTGAAAAAACCCTCTAATTAATCATCTCAACATTGAGATATATGAATATGAAAAAAAAAAAGTTTTTGAATCTCGGAAATAGTGCATCTTGCAACACATTATCTAAACCGTCCATTTTCAAGATTTTCATATATTTATAGATCTATTTGATTTTAACCATTGTTTAAATTTAAAAATTTCTAATAAGGTATAAAAATAGATTTTAAAATAATACTAAGAGTTTTTACGACAAAATTATAAAGTACGCCTTAATTGGATTGTTTAAGGTTGCAACCTTATAAAAACCACACCCTTTAGTAAATGGTCCGTTACATTTAGGGAAATTACATTTAAAAAGATGAATAATATCATCTACGCAGTCAAAATCCCTTATAAATTTAGTACGGGCTCAAAACATCTCAATGTTCACATCTTTAGTCGTAGGAATAAAACCTTCTAATGTGATTGGAACCAATTGAAAGCAGTTAGGCATGCTCCCCTAACTCAAATAGCTTCACTATTTGGCTAACTTAGAAATAACTCATGATTAGCCTAGTCCTCTACTAAGTAAACACTTGTGAAATGTGATACATTACTAAACGCCTTCATTCCAGTATGCCAAAAGATTATATAGTCCTGCAGGAGAAATATCTTCCTAACAAAAAAATCTCTTATGTGGTTAAGTGTGAGAATATATTTTCACACTAATTAACTGTCAATTAGTGTGAAAAGATGCATTTGACTGATTGATGTAAAAATATTCTCACACCTAACCACTTTTTGTTAGGAAAATATTTGTCTCACAAAGCCATATAATCTTTTGGCATACTGTAATGAAGGTGTTTATTAATGTATCAAATTTCACAAGTGTTTACTCATTAGAGGATTAGGCTAATCATGAGTTATTTCTAAGTTAGTCAAATAGTGAAGCTATTCGAGTTAGGGGAGCATGCCTAACTACTTTCAATTGGTTCCAATCGCATTAGAAGGGTTTATTCCAACGACTAAAGATGTGAACCATATCATCTAACGAGTTGAAACCAATGCAAAATATAGGAAAAAGAAGTATTGGTAGTCCATTCAATCATTCTCAAATGTGCCATATAACCAATGAGGTTGCTAGCCGACTCCAACTAAATATCAGCTAAGTCTAACCAATAAATTTCATGCAACGATGCTGCTCCCTCTCTCTCTCTCTCTCCTTCAAAGTACTAACAATCTCCATCTTTCGTCTCTCTCATTGTCATCTCTCTCTAGAGTTCATTTTCCTTTGAGAATAGTACCCTCTCTCTCTCTCTCAATAAAATTTGTAAGTGGCTTATATTTTTAGTATTGTTAAGTGGACGTCCTTATCACTTTTAATTCATTTCATTCGATCATGTTCTATACATTTTCAAGGGACAATCCTTGCCTCCTCTAAACCACCAATTATAGAGAACTTTTGCTAGTGCCGTTCTCAAAGTCCTTTGATTTGGGTTTCACTCTGAGGCAATCTTTCTCAAAAAAAGGTTCAGTTTTTTTCGATCAAATCAGCCTTGTTGGTTATAATCTCTTCACCCCTTGTGAGAACCCTTCCTTCTTTTCCTCCTTTTCTTTTTTTTTTTTTTTTTTTTTTTTTTTTTTTTTTTTTTTTTTTTTTTTTTTTTTTTTTTTTTTTTTTTTTCTACTAAATTACTAATAGTCGTCCTACCCCCTTCCTTTCTTGTCTCGTCCTTTTTT